AAAAGATTTTACAATACCTCTCAGCACTTGATTCAAGAATATCCACGAAAAATATTGATGCTTGAACGATTATTTCACAGCATACATTAGGAGCCTTATGATATACTTTATGACCCACTAGTAATAGCAGGGTTAATGGATGAGATCTAAATATCAAGATACTAAGCCATTTTAATGAGGAAGATTTAGAGAATCCCCATGAATATCATATCATCAACCATAAATGCAAAATCGAGTTGGTAAGAGGAACTCACAAAACTTGTTATAGATGGCAAATAGTTTTATTTTGATACCATAAACTGTAAAATGCTAGGTATCAGCCATTGAAAAACTTTAATTAAAAAAAGATTTATGTGGAAAAAAAGTATTGGGCATGATTCATACAGTAACTTTAAGGAGAACTGTGGAAGAATACAAATGCTAGCACTACTTTAACTAATATAAGGTACCTAAGAATAAGAATCATCTAAATAATTGCTCTTTACTATCTGGAATGGGGAAAATTATTAAATTCAACTACATTTTTATTAAAGTTTGAAATATCCTTTCAGACTTATCCAATACATTAAGATCCAGAATACTGACTTTTATCATTAACTGACTATGAGAATATAAAAACTGGAATAATAAGGGCTATTTTAAAGAAAAATGATTGTTTTTTAATAAAAAATCAGATAAAAAATGGCAAATTGAACATTAGTAAACAATAATAATATGCTTTAAATCAGATATGTATCCGGAAATTTCAAAACAAAAGGACTTCTTGATTAATAGGACAAAGTTTGGATGTTGGATAAATGGATCTTGGATATTCTTAAAAAACCATTTGGCTGCTACCACAAATGCATCAGGTTCTGTAATGAAATAATATGAATACAATATAGTTTTAGAATCTAGTTATAAAATCTTTTGAGTGATTCTTTATATATTTTATTAAGATTAAGATTATACTGATCATATTCTAAAGAAATTTTGAGTTTTACGGGGTTTTGGGGTTTTGGGG